TTTTTTTTTTTTTTTTGCATTTTCTCCATTATTTCCACTATATGATTTTTTTTTCTGTGCTTTTTTTTTTTTTTTTTTGCTCTCCCTATTCGGTGACCACATGGGGGAGAGTAAAAGACCGCATACTTCCATCCTGTACAGCATTGCTGACCAGGACATTCTCACGTTTTACAAAAAACCTCTAACGGTTTAACTAATTCGGAACACAAAAAAGTATAACATACTAGGCGTTTCGCCTTTAATATTTTATACATTAACAGTGGGCAGGGACATAGGGCGGTGTTTGCCCGCGCACAATTTTGCTGACTTAAGGGTGGTATTGAGGTTACGCTTTGGTTTTTTGCGACTGAACGGATTGTTACACACATGGAAAGGTGTTGATACGCTTTTACATTTTATTACCAATTTAGGATCATCGACAAATGAGTCTTTTCCTTTTATGGAGTGATCCTTTCGCTACGTGATATACAAATGGTGTGCATGAAGAGGTGGTTGACCCGGGTGTAGCGACAGAATGAGAGATTTAGTAGACAGGCAACACTTAGCTGTTTACACGTTTGTTGAAATGCACACAACGGTGCAACGGTTCAGGTTCCATTAAGAGTGTGTTTTGGGGTTGAAGTCTCATGTCCCCCACTGCGTGTACAAATGTTAAATTTTCCCTCTGCTTTTTTGTGGCCTTCCATCCCCTCAGCCTACAATATATTTCCGTTTGTTCAGGCGTACATGTGCCACAATATGTGCGCTTAAGCCCATACACTAGCATGCGCATTAAACATGTGTGCTTCTGCACCATTTCCTTTTTTTTTTTTTGGGTTCGTTTGTTTTTTCTTCCACTCATTTTTTCATCTTTCCCCAACGGTGTATTTATTCAACACTTCGCGAGTAGCACAATTTGTTTGCAAAATTTATGCAGAAGAATTTTTTTTTATATATTTTATTTTTTTCCCCGCCTAGGTAACCCTTTGGAGCGTATAACTATTTAGCCAAAATGTGAAAGAGTACACCTTCCTCTGCTAGGAATGCATATCTACACTGCTAAAGAAAAAGAAATAACAGTTTATTGGCGAAGATGTTCCTTTTTAAGCTGACGAAACAGGGTACGATACATACCGCTTGCTCCTTGAATAAACCCTTTTTGTGTAATTTTAAAACGAGCAAAAATGTTAACATCAGTAAATTAATAAAAAGCAAAAAAATAAAAAGCCATGAATTACACAAAATAGAAGATGTGGAACTTCTCTTACAAGAGAGACACCATGATGTTTTTCAGAGTTATCCAACAATTAAAAATGTGCATAAAATTATTAACGTGAAGAATATTCCTGTTTTTAACAAGAATGAAAATCCGGACAATATTTTGAGCAAAGTGGCTCTTCACTTTGGAGGTACACGTGCTTAACCGTGTCCTATACACATGGGGGTGTTTTAGCCCTATATCTTGCATCACAGCGTGAGGGAAATTTCGCGCATGTACAAAGCAGTTCTGCGAAAGTGGACAGTAACCTGGCTGGTGTATCATGAACACGTGTAAGCATAACCATTTCATTACACATCTTTCCCTTCTCCCCTTTGCAGACTTGTCCTACCTGCGAGGCGACGCAGCCGTGAACGGAACAAACCACATGTTTGAATTGACCAAAGAAGGAAACGGGTATGACTGTTCAGGTAATTTTTTAAAAACATGTGGTGACGCACTCTTCACCGAAATGAAAACTGCTCGAGAGGAACATAAAGGAAAGGATATACTCATAACGAAAGGGCATAACAGTGCATACAAATGGATTATACATGTGGTCGAACCGTACTATAACGAAACGGCAAAATTAAGAAAGTGTTATGAGGACATCCTATTAACAGCAAAAATGAATAACCTTAAGACGATTGTTTTTCCCCTGCTTGGCAGTGGCATTAGCCTGTTTAAAAGGCATGACGTTGTCGTGTGTTGTTTGGAAGGAATTTACGAATTCTTTAAGGAGAAGAGTAATATGAATTCAATTGATAAAGTTGTTTTGTGCACAATCACAGACTCGCATTGGATGCTGCTCAAAGATTCCATACCGCTTTACTTAAACGTTACAGTAAAGTGATCGCCCATGTGCGTCCAGTCTGTTGTGTTTGAATTTTTCGTTTTCTTTTAAATTTGTGTAACACTGTTTGGCAATATTGGCTAGCTAGCTAGCTGTATAGCTATCTAAGCGTCATATAATTATATATATTTTTTTTTATATATTCTCCCACATATCACCTGCACCGTTCATATTTTTTATTTTACTACATGGCTTTTAAAAAAAAAAAAATGGATCTTGCATCGAATAGACGCATTCTACCCGTACGTAATGCTGCATTATGCAAACGTCAAAATGTTGATCCTTTGCCTAGTCCTCACTTTGTGCTAAAATGTGCAGGATCCATATGGACAATATGAAATTGCTTAAAAAGGGGGAGAGGAGCTATACAAACGAATTGGAAGAAATCTTTAAAAAGAATCAAAATGGACAAATAGATGGGATAGTAAAAAAAAAAAAAAAAGGAGAAAACACACACACAAAAAACAAAAGCATTTTACAAATTATTAACTACACTCTGGTAAAAATAAAAAACTTACAGAGGGGCGTTTCTTAAGCAGAGGTTCTGCATTGAGAAGCAATCATTTAAAAATTTTCCACGGTTTTCTTAATTTTACAACATTCTTGTGCATCCCTTTTTTTTTTTTTTTTACCTATTCGAGAGTGTGTCACAGATCGACACGACGGGGGAGGCCCCTTTTTGATATGTTTTTTTTAAACGTTTCATGGGCTTCCTGCCACATATTTTTGAACGACGTGCTGTTGTTCCCTGTTGTGTTCATTGCTTTGCGAATTGGCAAGTTGGATAAGTTTATTGGCTGATCATCTTTGAATAAGCATGCCCACCAAACATAAAAGCCCTCAAATTCGTATTTTTTTTTTAAATTAATACATAAAAATGTTTCTTCCTTCTCCATTGCACCTTGTCCAAAGTTGAAGTGTAAATTTTGATTATTCACTTCATTAGCAAGATGGAAAATATCCTTCCAGTTTATTTTTATGTTTTTTATTTCCCACAGTTGGGTGTCTTCATCCTCGCTTATCTTATA